CAATAACCATCTCCAATATAAAAAGAGGGAGTTAGGGTTTCACTGAAACACATCACCCACATCCCTCGCCGCCTCCCCCACTCTCTCTCTGTCAGCTCCCCGCCTCCCCCACTCTCTCTCTCAGCTCTCCACCTCCCCCACTCTCCCTCTGCCTCCCTCTACTCTCCCTCGATGCAGGCAACGGCGCGCGGCGCAGCTCTCCTCCATAGCGCCGCCGCGACGGCCATCCCCTACAGCGGCACGCGGCGCGAGGAGGAGAGCGGAGTAGGGTGGCGCTGCACCGAGCGACACGACAACGGCAGTGGACCCCTCCCTTCCCCGTCGGCGGTGGCGGTCCCTCCCTTCCCCGTCGGCGGCCTCCTCCAAGGGCGCGCAAGGCCTCCAGATGGCGGATCGAGGGCGCGCGGGACAACGGCAACGGCTACGCCCTCCTCCTCCCCCTTGGATCCTCCATGAACGACGACGGCGTAGGGCTAGGGTTTCAAATCCAGTGAGTTCATCTCCCTCTTCCTCTCCATCTCCCTCTTCCTCTCTCCATCTCCCTCACTCCTCCCTCTTCCTCTCTCCAGATCCGGCGACGGCGACCTCTTCCTCCACGGATCCGGTGGCTGCACCCTCCTCCTCCGTGGGTCTAGCGGTGGAGCGACCGGATCCGGCGGTGGATCTCCACCATGGCCACGACGCCGGGATCCACCATGGCCACGACGCTGGGACCTCCACCACGGTGGGCGAGGACGCGGCGGCGCGGCGGCCTCCCTCCACCACGGCGCGGCGGGATCCGCGAGGAGGCACGGGGATCCGCGAGGAGGCATCGGCGTGGTCCCCTGCGAGCGACTGGCGAGGTGGTGGCGGCCGTGGGAAGCCCGGATCCGTCGCCGGTGGGCTCGCCAGTGGGCTCGAGAACGGGCTCGCCGGCGGGCTCCTAGTTTTTTTTGTTTTTTTTAAAATGATTAACCGTAGCGGGCATCCTAACGTGCCCGCCGTGGTAAAAGTATATTTACCGCGACAGGGCACGTTACACCGCCCGCCGCGGTAAATCGATTAACCACGGCAGGCAAGACCGCCCGCCGCGGTTAAGCCACGATTTACCGTGGCCTCTAGGCCGCGGCGGACGGCTTTGCCCGCCATGGAAAACCGAAAACGCCCGCCTCCAGTAAAGTTTGTGTAGTAGTGAGAGGTAACTATTGTTGTGATGGAGAATGACACACCGATCCGGCTTCAGATCGAAAGATCGAACCCTACAACCTTAGCACCACAACTCCTCTGGTTATCAACCGAGTTATGGACCAGGTTGACCTCGCTAAGAAGGCTAATCTCTGCCTGCGCAATGAAGAACACAAGCAAAAAGAAAGAACACAAGCAAATTGCAGATGTATGATTAAGCTCACAAAGTTGGGGTCTCACAAACCGATGAACGGCGAAACTGTTCTTGACAGAATAATCTAAGCAAAACCCCAAAACCTAATGACGGCGGCGGCGTATGATTATAAAGGTCTTAGGATCATCGCCTACCCTGGACGCGCCCTCTAATGGGCCCAAACACGATACACGGTCCAACGGACCAAAAGACGGTGTCGCAGCACCCTGGCAGATTCTGGACGCTGACTTGTTTCGACGATTCCCGTTGATTCTGAAGGGATTTTGACGTGAGACCACTTGGATTGGCTTCCTTATCAACTTAACTTTCCAACCATATGCGGATCGTCGAAAACGGAGTCCGGATGCGTCCTGGGTGACCAGTTTAAGGCAGACTGGTCCTAGAGGCCGAGGCAGACTCGAAATCATATTGGACCGGGCCTCCGGTTTCTGTTGGACGTTCTTACTGGTCATCATCGCCTCCACCTCTTCCTATAAGTCCCTCATGACACTCTCCAATGTTCCTAATTAATATAACATCATTAGGTAGCAATCTATTCTCAAAAGTATGAAAAGGATCACTTAAAAACGAGCTCACCTCTAAATTAAGTTGTCGCCGACGGTGGAGCAGCACCCTGACACATTCTGGACGTCCACTTGTTTCTACAATTCCTGTTGACTCCGATCGAATTTTAAGGTGAGACTGGTGCCGTTGGAAGCTCCATAAAATTATATTTCCATCCATATAAAGAACGCCCAAAACGGACACTATATGCGACCTGGTCATCATTTTTAGTACGTGCTGCTCCAGGACTCCGAGACGGGCTCGAACTTTAGTTGCTTTGGGCCTCCACCTCAGAGACTCGAACCGAATTAGCCTCGGGCCTCCTTCTTGACTTGGACACCTTTGCTGGCCTCCTAACCCTCCATACCATGCGCCAAACATGGTCATATGCATGGGTGTCATGTCCTCATCACACTTAGCACAGGGAATATACTGAAAAAGAAAAATTTTCAGTTGGCATTTTTCAATTGTGTTCTCTGCGCTATCTTGAAGAGACAGTCGAGCACCTGTTCCTTCACTGTGAGTTAGCTAAAGCCTGCTAGGGACTGATCGGCGTGGTAGTAAACTGTTGCCTCAATCCTTTCCAGATTTTTGAGGATTTCAGAAGGCAGCTAAATGTTCCTTTCTTCATGGAAATTATTATCATTATGTGTTGAAGCATCTACACAATCAGAAACGACATCATTTTCAGAGTGATCCCTGCAAGCAGTTCGCGATGTTCAGAGATCTTCAGGGTCACCTTTCGCCAGCTCCTCTGGAGAGCCAAGAAGAAATATTTCCCTTCTGTTGACTTATGGTTAGTGCAATTTGTGGGAAAAGTCTATATAACCCCCTAACGTTGGGTATGGTGTCTACTTCACCCCCTGAACTACTAAACTCGGTCACTGGCGCCACGTTGTACACCTTGGTCACCAGCGCCACGTCCCATGCCACGGCGAGCTCAAAGCCTCTACCCGCTCCCTGCGTGTCCGCGATGCTTTGCATCTACACCTCGAGGTAGTGCCAAGTCTCTGTTCCCGCTCGGGTCTCTAGGTAGGGCGACTTCCCCATGTCGGTCGCTATCACAAGTTGCACGCCGACGTCGCGGGCGTTGCGGACGTGAAGGAGCCACAACTCGAGGATACATCGAACCACTTCTTGAAGCCCTTGCTGCCGACACACGGGCTAGCTAACGCGAACGCGGTCACTGGCGCCACGTTGTAGCTGCTGGCAGCGATGTTGAACGTGTTCAGCGTGGCGAGCCCTGCGCTGGCTGTGGCCCATCGCAGTGATGCTGAGCTCCTCGTCGTTGTACGTGTCCACCAGCCTCCGCACCTCGCTCAACACCTGAGGCCTTGCACTCTCCTGCTTGTGGCTGTACGTGGGTGCACTCTCTTGCCGACGATGTGGCATACAGTAACCTGGTGACCCCGAGCCGAAGCCGCCGTGCTGGGACATGGTGGGCACGCGCAGCTCTGCTGTAGTGCCATACGCTCGCTTCCTTTCTTCTGATGATCAGCTTGCTCAGCGCGGTTTATCTATATACGGAGAACACCGCTCGCAGTCTGTCATGGACACCGGGCTGCACTATGCTGTCGGCTACAGCCAAGTTCCCAAACCACAGCACGGCGCTGCGGCCACTTGTGCCGTGTCGTGCTCGACGAGGCACCGGGCCTGGACGCCGCCGCCATGGTCGCCCGCCATCTCAAGGAGCGCGCCCTACCGCACACGGAGGCTCTCTTCCGTGTGGCGCCCATGGCTGCTCATGTGCTCTATCTGGACACCGTCAAGCTCGGCAAGAAGTCAAGGCTAGGCGTGTCAACCGTGCGCGAGCTGTTCGATGAAATGCCAGGGAAGAATACAGAGGTGCTGAGAGGTCTGACACCTGGTCCAGGGTGCCAAGTTGTCAATGTGTAACGGCATGGACAGCAAGTCAGCAAAACCTAGGTCCAAAACCACCTCAAGGGGTTAAATAGACTGTTTGAAGATGTTTAAGGGGTAGAATATATGGTTTTATAGTTCATGGGGTGAAGTAGACATCATGCCAAACGTTGGGGGTTATATAGACTTTTTTCAATTTGTGTAATAGACTTGATTTTCTTTATTTCCTTTTTTTTTCCTAAGCTCATCCCCCCTCTCCTCCCTGTCTGTTTTTCTCTACTTCTATTTTTCTTGTAACCCTCTTTGTTGCTTCTACTTAACCCCTCCTGTTTCCTAAAAAAAAGTTAAAATTAGATAATCAATCAGTAATTACGTAGAGAAAACTTTTAAATAGATTTATTATTACTTGTTCTTTGTCGATATGGATAAATGTCTGATGTTCTATATTTTTGTCGAATACAGATATGAAATCGGATAGAGAAAAATACTAAAAAACGAATTCGGATACATCTATTTAACATCCATATTAGAAACAGATACGAATACCGATATCCAATTAAATGTTTTAACGGATACATATTTGGACAATTTGGAGACATCCATTTGCATCCTTACTACTAACCACTCCCGTTACATGTATACAGAGCATTTCGCATGTACTCCTACGAGTGATTTGACATCTCTCTAGAATAGGCATGTCAACAAAGATTCAGGCCCTATTTAGGTGTTGTAGTATTCTGGTTTTCAAAACCATAAAACTTATTGCATCCAAACATTACATGACACTCAAAATTAAAATCAAACTAAAGTATTTTAGAAAACCATGGTTTTTTTTAAAAAAAATCTAAAAAATAATTTGCATTCAAACAGAGCCTTAGTAATTTTTATCTTCTTGTATATAGTCTTGTAGTAATCAAGACTTCACTTATACACGGAATCGTATCGGATCACTGTTACCTAACTCACAGTCTCAAACACAGTGGCCACCAGAGACTAACAAGGCGATGACGAGGGCTGGTGGCGAATTTTGTGTTTTTTTTCCTCAGGTAATGTAGGGCTGATCTTATTTCTTACTCAAATCAATCAAAGTGATTCGAATTATCCAAAGAAGAAAACACTGAAGCACAGTTGAATACATAGTCCTGAAGCAACCCTAGTATATGCATGGAACTGGCCAAGCAACCCGATCCTCTTCTGTAAGCTTCACAAAATGTTCAACTCAAGTGTTCAGCATGTTAAGCTGTTGCAGTTTATAGCAATTGTTCAGCAGGGTAAGCAGTTGCAGCTTATAGCTGCTGAAAGTCTGCCTTCTACAACCGCTGTTCGTGTCATGAGTCAACATCAGCGGTTCAGTGTAGCTGTGTGAGCATTCCTCCATTCTGCTAGTATTGATCTCTTCTTCCCACATTGGTTGGTTGCACCAGCAAAATGCTTCTATGTCCTTGGAGATGCATGCAGGGTATTCTAAGTATTTGGTTGGGCTTCCCTCTGGGCAGTCTTCATCAGCTTTCGTAATTCTACAACTAGCAAGAATGCAATGCTTAACTATCTCATAGACTCCCTCTGCAATGGCAACAGAAGATGCCTCAATTTCTTTCTTGCAGTTCCTCCAAGCCTCTTTAATGATAGGAAGAAGCATGTCGCACCAGCATCCTCCAGATTCCTCTGAAAGCTTTGAGCTACAATCCTTGTGTGAATCCTTTAGTCGTCTTAGATGAAAAGCAGTGAATTCTTCCTCTCCATGGGGCAGCAGTTGCCGGAAAAGCCAGCCACCAACCAAGCGAACATCTGCAGCAACCTTTGATCTGCAGAAAAGGTCGACCAAAGCATCGAGCACCTGATATCTGTGAGCTTGGAAGTCATCTGCCGTGGATGGTGACACTGTAGCCAATATTTGACCCGAAGCTTCCTTACATAAATATCAAAATCACTACGAATGCTGTCATCAGTTAGACCGCTGTTTGACGAAAATAATTGTCCTTCAGCAAGGTCTTCACCTACTAAAGCTTGTAACAGAAGCTTCTTATGCTGCTTTCTTTGAGGGAGGATTCCAAGCGCATCCAGCATTGATTCATCAAGTTCTTTCGTCTGCAGTAATGTAGCAAATAAGCACAATGAACCCAAAGCTAGTGAATCATCTCCTTGTGTGATATAGGACAGCAAGTGTTCCCATGGTGCATTGCCATGGCAGCAATCACTTGGCGGTGAATGATTGGGCAAGTATTTCCAACTAACAGAAGACAGAGAATTTGGCTCATCCTCATTTGATTGCTCGACAGCAGAGGCAGTGGTGCAATGATTCTCAGATCTGCAATTATCATGCTCAGATGTATACCCATTAGGAGGTGTCCCTTGCTTTGTTTCATCAGGGCAATCAGGTTGATGAAAAAGGGCAGCAGCGACAGTACTTGCCATATCCTTATTCTTCAAAATGTGCAGTATACAACAAAGCAGAAACATGGATGTAGTGACACTTAGGTCCAAATCTGCGCTCTGCCTCTGCAACGACGGGAGTAATAACCGAAACACCAGAGCTTGCAAGATATTGTCAGTGATGAACCTTTCAAGATCAGGAATACCAGAAGATATAACATCACTGAAATAATACAGCATGTCTTCAATCTGCACAATCGCATCTTCAACACAAGACATTGGCAAAGAATCTTCAGTTCCTGAGGAGCGTGCAACCAACTTATCCATGTCAACGCACTGCTCCTGAAAATGCTGGACCATGTCTGAAAAATAGTCTGACAGAGGCACACGGAAACGAATCTGTTAACAGATTCATCTCCAAAGTGGTAGACATTGAGTGTCAAGGTACGTATAGCAACTCGGATCATGCTGCCCTGGTGAAAAGCAAACTTCAAGGCCTCGACATAGAGAGGAAAGGAAGTGACCTCATCGTCTTCCGTCTTTGCCAGCAAAGAAATTGTACTCTTGTTCAGCTTCCCACTTATCGCCCGCAGAAAAGATATGTAGTAGGATAACATCTCATCGATCCGAAAATCGAATGGGTACGTGATGAAGAAGTTGATGTGCTCACTGCTAAGGATGTAATGAATTGAATGTTCATCTCTCAGATTTTGGATCATGATGCCCATTGTCTGCAGCAACTGGAGTGACACTTTTGACAAATTAGAGATCCTTAGGATACGAGAAAATGGAAATTTTGCCTTTATAGGGAGTGGGCTTCGCTAGAATGTCCTTAAGTGTGTGGGCTTCGTTAGAATGCTCATATGAAAGGTGTGTTTCACGCTATTTTGCCATTTCGTGTTTTTTCTAACTTTGTAAATTTCTGACCCTATTTTTTTAACCAGACGTGATCGTTTTATCCCTGTCTCCCTCTACCTTATCCTCTTCTGCTTCTCACAGTCACGGCCTTTCTCTCCCGTTCTCTCTCCGTCTCGACTACTTGGAGAACGGGAGACTACGCCGCCACCACCGGTCGTGCTCCCCTGTCCCGACCTCACGGGGCTCATCGAGCGGCTGTCCCCGCCGCCGCTGCGCGAGCGGATGCTGCACTTCTCGGCGGAATCCCTGGAGGCGCTCAAGGATCGGGCGCGGCGGGAGCTCCTGGCGGCCGGTGACGCGGCTGGCGCGGCCGCCGTAACCAAGTTCCAGGCGCTGAGCTCCCTGGTATGGCACTGCTTCACCCGCGCGCGGCGCAAGGCGCCGGACCAGTCCACCGTATGCCGCGCCGCCATCAACAACCGCACGCACCTCCGCCCGCAGCTGCCAACCAAGTACTTTGGCAACACCATCTACGCCATCTCCACAAAGGCGGTGACCGCGGGGGATCTGCTGGCGCGCGGCCACGGGTGGGCGATGGCGGCCGTGGGGCGAGCGGTGGCGGCGCACACGGATGCCGACATCTGGGCGCGCGTGGCGGCGTGGATGGCCAAGCCCGTCGTGTACACGCTCAGGTACTTCGACCCCAACGGTGTCATGATGGGCAGCTCGCCGAGGTTCGAAATGTACGGCTGCGACTTCGGCTGGGGGACGCCGCTGGCGCCGCGCAGCGGCAGGGCCAACAAGTTCGACGGGAAGGCGTCGCTGTACCCAGGGCGGGAGGGCGGCGGCAGCATCGACGCGGAGGTGGTGCTGACGCCGGAGCACATGGCGCTGCTGGAGCAGGACGACGAGTTCTGGGCGGCCGTCTCGCCGGACAAACCTTGCCCGCCGGCGGTGGGGAAGAATTGACTGCCCATGGCCGATCAATGTCAGACAGAGCAAAAGGAGTCGATTTGCCTTTGACAGACAGACACTTGTTCTGTTCTTTCCAGTTTTTGCGTTTGGTTAATGATTAGTCCTCTGATAAACGAATCGAAATAAATATGAGAGGGTATTCTTTCCAGCGATGTGTTGTTTTCATGTTTGTCGAGACGGAGAGAGAACGGCAGTGAAAGGTGAAATTGCCATGACCGTGAGAAGCAGAGGATAAGCACAACGAGACAGGGGTAAAATGGTCGTGGTCAAAAAGATGAGGTCAGAAATTTACAAAGTTAGAAAAAACACGAAATGATAAAATAACGTGAAACACATATTTCATAGGGACATTCTGACGAAACCTACAAAAGTCATTCTAACGAAGCCCATGTCACGAGAAAATTCTCATTTTCTCTTAGGATACGAGCGAATTCTCCCATGATCTGTTTCTCCATAAAGTATTCAAACAACGATGGACCATGCTGGTCGCCGTATATCATAAGCTCCGCAATCGATCTCAGTGCTTCAATCACAAAATCCTCATTAGCTTCGTTGACGACATGAACCTTTTGCAGCTGATCTGTCTGATACTGGAGCTCCTCGAGCGAGAAGCGGTTCCTAGTGCGCCAGAAAAGCCACATGTTGGTGGATCCGGATCCGCTCCGCCCCGAGGCGATGGCGCAAGCGCGGGGAGCGAACTCGGACCTTATCGGCGTGGGCGCGGGGTGCGAGCTCGGACTCGGAGCCACAGGAGCCGGGGCGCATGACGGAGGGACCCTCACGAACGTGCGCGGGCCACCACGCTAGCCGCCGCCGGAGGGGGAGCGCGTCGCATCCGCGGCGGCGGCGATCGCCGGCTGCCGATGCGCGTGGATCGCGGGTCGTGGGGGCTCGCTTTTTGCCTTTTCGACTCTCTTTTCTTTTTCTGTTTTTTTTCTCTCCTCGCCATTGGGTTCCGCTATCCTTTTCGGCCCGGTTTGCTTCGTTGGCGAACTTTCTTTTCCGCAATTGGTGGGCCATGGGGGCAAAGCAATGAACGGTAGCCAAAGAAACGAACGGCCAGAATCGGTTCCGAAATGATATGGCCAGAGCGTCCGAGCGGACGGACTAACCGTTCCGAAATGAGTGTGCCGTCAGAGCGCAGCTGCCGCCTCCTCTTCATCGTCCGTGCGCTACACCCCACTCTCTGCACCTTTGTCCCTACCCGTCCTCTGCGTCGTTGCGCCTAGCCCACCCTGCCCTCTGCACGCCGTCACCAAGCTCCGTGTGGCTCGTGTGCTGTCGCCTTTTGCGCGCCGCGCGAGATCTGTGCCACCGACGAGCTCCACGCCACCAAGATCTGGCGATCTGAGTTGCCGGCAAGCTCCATGGCACCGAGATCCGCGGCACCAGCGAGCTCCACACACCGACATCGAGCTATGCCTGTCGATGCGCGCCTCCGTTCGCCCAAGCAGAAGGAGATGTTGCTCTGAAAAGCGTATATCGCAAGCCTATATTTTGAATGGTTCAGGTGTTTCGAGCGCATGTTGCAGGTGCTTCAGGCGCATGTTGCAAGTGTTGTGTTATAAGGAAATGTTTGCTTTGAAAGCCTATGTTGCAATCCTATGTTTCAACTGTTTCAAGTGTTTCGAGAGCATGTTGTGGGTGTTTCAGGCACATGTTGCAATAACGATATTATACATGCTTCAACAATAATCTGGGCATGTTTCAGTAGTACATCACTGATGTTGCAGCAACATTATCGTACATGTTTCAATAGTAATCTGGGCATGTTTCATTAGTACATCGCCGATGTGCAGCGTGGACCCCAAGGGCGTCTGTGCGGAAGCCAACATCCTCTGCGCGTCGCCGTCGCCGTCCCAACCGTCCTCTGCGTTGTCACCGCGCCCACCCTGCCCTCTACGCACAGTTGCCGCCCTCCCCCTCCCATTCTTTACGCCGTCGTCATGTCCCATCCTACCCTCTGCGCATCACCGCCCAGCTCCGTGCGGTGCCGCCTTCTGCGCGCTGCAGAGCTCCGTGTCGCCGGCGAGCTCCACTTTGCCATCGATATCCACACGCGCCAAACGCACATGCTCTTGTCATCTGCGCACTGCTGCCATGCCCCATCCATCCTTTGTGTCGTCGCTGACCCCAAATGGAAACAGAGCAGCCGCGGGGGTGTCCAAACGCGGGCGTCTGTCCAAACGTTCGGGCGCTAGTCGTTCCAAAAACAATTAGGTGGTTTGTATTCGTCAAGTATTCGGTGTTGCATGATTTGAAACCGCCACCGACTCTGATCACCGAACACACAGAAAATCTTAAACCGACACTGACATCAAACACTGAAGAAATCGGTACTTCGGTTCAGTTCGGCTTAATTCAGTACGGTTCGGTTCGGTTCGGTCTTCTAGAAAAAATGCCCACTCCTAACTTCTACATAGCAAACCAAAGATCTCTAAATTCCTACCTCTAAACTCCTGCTCCATCCTAGCGCCAACCAAATGTGCTCTAATATAAACTAGAACATTAGGCACCCTTCGGGCGCCCTATAATGATTTGAAAACAGAAGCAACTATCCTCGCTAGATAGGCATGGTTTTAAATTAAATATATATCAACACTAAGATCCAACCACAAACATTGGTTTTCATAGTCATTGACATCGTCACCGGCACCTAAGATTAGATGTATTACACCAATAAGTACGTAGCACGAAACAACCAATCACATATCCCATGTCCTAATAGGGAGCAAACGGCCCTTACAGTTCATGGCCATTCAGTACATGTAGGGATGAAAACGGAACAGATACGAACGGATATCACTAATATTACATTTGTTTTCATATTTCTGTCCGGATTTGGATTCGAATACGGATAGTGTCAACCATATCGGATAGGATACGATTGGGTATCGACATCATAAATATGCGATTTGAGTATTCGGATACGGATACGGTATCGGATGTTGAATATCCGGACTCGGATACGAACAGATCTGAACCCCTTTAAACGGATTCGGTCTCAAATACGGTCGGAAAATATCCGTACCATTTTCATCCCTAAGTACATGCATGATCACCGCGGCCCTTACAGTTCTATTGAACCACACGTTAAATAGCTATTCATTATAGTTGACAATTGCAATTCATGACTACAGAACATCTTAGTCAAATTCCGATCCAGATGTGCACATAATGATAGATTATTACAGGATCAACTAGCCATATATCTAGCATGTGTACTTACATTTAGAATAAATAGTGAGTCCTAGGACATGTACTGGTACGGGATTAACAGATAGAGTGAGAGAGAGAGAGAGATTGAGGAGGTGCAAACCATCGGCCATCTTCATAGAAGACGAGCTGGCCAAGGGGTTGCTTGACGGTGGCACGGTGAAGCCCGGCGGTAAAGGTGCTGTCGCGGTGGGGGCGGTGGCCGATGGCGGAGCTTTTCCGTCGCTGGCAACACCCCTCTCTAGATCGGCTAGGGTTTAGGGACTGTAGGTGGGGCGTCTGGCGGCTCAGGTGAACCTCGTACCTTGTGCCCTAGCCCCCATCTCCCTTTTTATGGCGTTGTGCAACGGGGGCCCACTAACCATGGAACGGTTGGGCGCCCCCGATCAGGGCACAGATCCAAGGGTCCAATTAGTCGTTGGTGGAGATCATCTAACATTCTCCACCTTATGACTTAAACTCAACTTACTTACTTTATCTTGTTCCCATTCCATCATAGATCAGTGCATAGAGCGTGCCTCATCATCACGGTCAGTTGCCGATTAAACAGCTACCATGCACCTCTCTGTTTTAAAACAGATTCTCAACTTGGCCCTTATTGTCCAGAAATCATAGGCCTTCCCTTAAACCCATGCCGGCTAAGTGTTCTCTGAACACACTGGGTGGTAAGCCTTTTGTA